TCCCCACGACGCTCGAGTAAATCCACATTTAGCCTCTCGGCCTCCCCTACTATTATATTTCCCGAGATATTTAGGTGTTCCGACCTTTTTGGGACACCCTGTAAAATATAGCCCTAATAAACAATTTTTGATTCACTCCTTCATTTAAAAAAAAATTCCAAACATACATATCATTTTTAAGCTGCAAAGATGATGTAATCCCTTAATGTAGTATATTACGAGAAACGAGCGCGATTTTATTAACATTATATACATATATTATCGATACTATTCCCAATACGTTGAAGGCCAATAATTACACAGGCCTACATGGTTTTGTTGATTGGGATTTAACTATGTTTTCTTACGTAATTTTTCGCGCTGAATCCGATTCCGGCTACAGAATTGCTCTATCACATTTTTGAGAAAAGTGAGATTAAAGGTGTCAAAATTGACGTTTTTTGACGTATTTATGATTTTTTTGCTAGCGAAGTAAATTTTTTTTCTACTTTCGTTTACGCCGTCTTAAGACCGACTTTTATCTTCAAAATATATTTTTTTAACGCCGTACGTTTTTTTTCACCGAGATAACACAGGCCTGCAAAATTTAAGGTGTTGAAAGTTGATTGGGATTTAACTATGTTTTCTTACGTAATATTTCGCGCTGAATCCGACTGCAAAATTGCTCTATCACGTCAAGATTTCAAGAAATCTAAACCCAAAACTGCCAAAAAAAGTCATTTTCAGTCATATTTGAAATTCAATTAAAAGAAATTGGAAAGTATAAGAGCAATAGGAGTCAGGCGCAGAAGACGTCGCGCAAATAATACACTCATAAAGCGTAAAACTTCTTTGTTCCACTAAACGCGCTTACATGTTTCGGCTCACTTTTGAGCTCTCTTCAGAGACAACACAAACCAACATATACAAACTATGAATAACAGTTATCCTATCATGATGAGCTCTCCTACATCGAGAATCTAAAGAAGAAAGGAACTCTTGAAAATATCTATATTTTCAAGAGTTCCTTTTATCTTTTTTTATTTTTCTCTTTATTTCATTGTTATTTAGCTTTAATTCTAACATTTAGATTCTATGAGCCGAAACATGTAAGCGCGTTTAGTGGAATAAAGAAGTTTTACGCTTTATGAGTTTATTATTTGCGCGACGTCTTCTGCGCCTGACTCCTGTTGCCCTTATTCTTTCCAATTTCTTTTAATTGAATTTCAAATATGGCTGAAAATGATTTTTTTGGCAATTTTGGGTTAAGATTTCTCGAAATCTTGACGTGATAGATCAATTCTGCAGCCGGATTCGGATTCAGCGCGAAAAATTACGTAAGAAAACAATTAAACCCCAATCAACTTTCAACACCTCCAATTTTGCAGAGCTGTGTTATCAATATATAAAATTTAAATAAATGTGTACTAATCAATTAATTTAATACACAATATAATACACTTACTAATATTAATTGTTAGTTGCAATAATTGTAATAGTTGATATTTAAGTCTTATTTAATTCATTTATATTTCTTGAGTCATATCTTATACTTACGATCCTCCAAAATCAACAACAAACAATCTTTGCAGCAACTCATACGTGAAGAGAGTAACACCAAATTGAGGTGATGATCTGAACACTCGAGCTGTAAGAATAGAAAAGTGTGTGATATTAAATATACATTATACATAATTTTGAACGTGCAGAGTCTATATTCTTTGTCCAAATAAAGATTTGAAATGTTTTGATGGCAAGCTTGTTGATATGACTATATTTTTTCAAATAGAACGAATATGTATAGAATATATATATATAGAACAACATTTCAAAAACTGATGTAGTTATAAATAGTAATAATATTCTACATAGTTTTAATTTTTGTCCATTTTATCAAACAGGATTATATCAATATTAGAAATTTAAAATGCCTATTACGGTCGAAGCTGGATCTTCGTTGCTTTAAATCAGTGGTCGCAAGGATTTGCACATTTCGGGCTGATTCCGGCGCGCGACCCCCA